ATGAACAAAGAAATTCAGCCAGTTAAGAGGTTATCTTATGTGATCTTGTCATGGCAAGAAGTTTAGAGATCTTGGGATCTGCTACTGCACCTAGAAAGCATGAACTTTGATCAGTGTTCGTACATTCCCACAATCAGTGATTTATTTATCTAAATCTTCTCTACGATAATATTTTTTATTTTTAGAGAAGTATAGATAACCCTCCTCATTTATCAGGTGCACCCTGTGTGGTTATCATAATTGTATACCCATTGAACTGATGGGTCTTATCATTCATTGTTATTAATTGCTTTTGAGGTGTCAAAGTTCTGATAATCGAGTGTAACTTTTGAGATGACAATTATTGAAGTATTTATTCAATATTTTTAGGTTCTATTTTTACTGAGTAACTGGCATTACCCTGGCCGCCTGTCGCCGTTAGTTGCGCAGGTAATCTAATTTAAGCTTTTACCAGATCCTTTAAACAATTTTTTTGAAATAAGTAAAACAGCAGGTGAGAGTAGAAAATGCTTCTCTAATATGAATGTTTGGTTGCGATGGCTCAGTATTATGTCTTCTTGAAATATTTTTTCTGATGTTTTAACTATTGTTTCTAACGTATTTAAGAATGCACTGATGTAGATATTTGTAAATCAGGTTAACTTAACAGTGATGAGCTTAAATCATTTGATTTGATTATGATCTTTTATAGTTCAGGTTTTGTGCCTACGCTGCGTGTAGCTGGCCATGGAGAACAAAGATATGTAGTGAAAAGTCAGTCCAAAACGTATTGTAATATACAGTTCTTAACTACAAGAGTACTTTAATGCTATCTCTAAGACGACTCGCATTCCTTTGATACCGTACATACAGAAGAAACTTAAAAATTTGAGCCTCCGTCGGTAATCTCTATCTTTGGTTTCAACTGTAAATAATGTTAAAGAGAGATCATGACTTTCTTTTGCTTTGCAATTATGAAGTACAGCTGAATCTGTGTTAAGTGGTCACCCACGGGGAATTGTGGGCTGATAACTTATGACAGGTTGCACAGAATAGGGGTATAAAAAACGATGAAAAAACGTTATTTTATGCCATAATTGACCACTGAATGTACAAACACTGGCTCAAAAAATACTTCTAACCCTGATGTCTGGAGATAAACATGAATTAGATTTCACATGATAGATTATTCTTAGGTTTATTTGAGTGGTTCCTCTCTCAGTGACCGTTTAATATAAGTGGCAGGCAATACAAGCAATGAGGCCGTTGGGACTCTGTCGAGGGGGACCACGACCGCTTAATATGTGTGAAAATTACACTAATTAAGAGGACTTTGGAAACCGACCGCTTATATAGGGTGACCGCTTAATACGATGTACTTAATGATGTACAGTTTCGACTGAATCTACTCAGAGTATAACTTTGTATTCCTGTTTAGTTTTGGTTTTTCATATTGGGCACGAATAGCCGTAATTATCCGGCGTGTTAAAATATAAGCTCGAGACTGTCGTTAGTGTTTTAATGATAAGCATACTTAAACACAGGTTGTGTAATGATCGGGAAATTAAGAATGCAGAATTTCTAGCTCATTTGCAAACGGGAAAATCCGTTTATTGACTGCTGAATTTCAACCATATGAGTGACGTGTGTGCTATTCAAACTTCACGTTCTGGATTAAAGTATGAACAATTTTTTCAAATGGCAACTGCAGTGGAAGTAAAAAGTTTAAATTTGTGTTCTTTGATCAAATGGCAGCCTGAATAAGCTTTCAAACAAAATATGATAACTGGTTTAAATTAGGTTCGAAGGTTCATGGAATTTTAATTACAAGAGGAGGTTCCAATGGCTGAAAAAGCGTACGTAACAGGCTATTAACCCCTATCGTCAGCCATTTAGATCTTATACTTTCCAGATGGTACGGAGTTTGAAATCTAAAATCTGTTAATATTCCCTTCTTTAGTTGAGCAATGAGATTGAAATTTCTATTGGCAGATAATTTACCTCACAGAGTTGACAGAAAGCGAGGTCAAACAAATTCAGTTGTTAGTGAACTCGGCTGATAATTTTTCCAAATTCAACATTCTGATCGGATAGCTTACGTAGTTGCCCTAGATCATCACGTGCTGATCGAGTTGAATAAAACGGGGGTTTTTACCGCATAACAAGAAAAGTAGAGAAAGTGAAAAAAAAAAAACCTTTTATATTGTGAATTGGACACTACATCGCAATACCTTTCGATAACCTGCTTACTTTTCACCTGTGAGAGTTAAACTTAGCCGATAGAAATCTATATTTTAGTTTCTCATTTATTTTTTGAAAGAATAACCTACTCTCAATACGGCAAATGTAAGTTACTGTTTGTCCGTGAAGAAATGTAAAATGGTTTCCGTGTTTACATAGCCTGATGTAAACACGCGGGAGGTTAGGAGAACTCGAGATAAGCGTAGGAAACCACGACGCGAAGCGGAGTGGTTTCCAGTTTATCGAGTGTTCTCCCAACCTCTCAAGTGTTTACATCAGGCTATGCAAACACGGAAACCATTTTACATTTCTTTTATAAAATAACTAATGAAAGAGGAATGAAAACCGTGTTTACATACGCTCATGTAAAATGGTTTTATGGCCAATCAGAGCGCGCGTACTATTTGAATTATTTTATAAAAGAATATGATGATAGATTACTCTCCTAGCAGGAGTTTTCATGCATTTTGCGCCAATTGGTTAGCTCTGATTTGTGGACTGGAAAGCCTTTATGACGAATTGGACCCTTACATCTTTTACATGTCATTAATTTTATTTTTGTTAACTAAAAAAGGAAAGCTTCAATAACGCTGCAAATTGAAGAAAATAAAAGGATCGTCAAACTCCTTTTTTTTTTTCTTTTTTTTTTAGTTATAGCACATAAAACCGAATGAAGGGTGTTTCTGAGAGGCTGTGTTGTCCATTAAAATACTTTATTATATCTAAATAAACAGGAAAAAAGTGCGAAAGCAATGACCAATAAAGGAAATTTGTGTCATAAAATAGCGACACCATTTCATGCCAAAAAAATTGGTTGTAAATATTTGTGTCCATGCCCAGCCCACGGAAAAAAGGGTTTTATTAAATTAGAGAAACGCACGCCCCTAACCCGATGTATACCTTCACTTGTCAAAACGCTCCGCTTCCTCTGATATGTGGTCTCCACATCTAATTTTAATACAATTCGATGGGCTGATTTACGATTCGTGCGTTAAAAAATCTGACCCTGAATCTATATGGAAAGTCTCATATACAGCATGTTTTAAAATCCCGTTCTTTGCCGTAGGTATTTGTTAATTCTAGATTTGTGCTTACGTCTTAAGTTTTTTCAATCGTTACTGAACTCATTATAGTCTCGGTCCTTTGAGATACCCGTGGCGAGTTTGCACGTCATGAAAAATTTTTCTGACGTAAGCGCTCCATTTCTGAACTACAACTCAAAGATTTTCAAGACTCCGCTGCCACTCATTTGAATACAGAGTAAGTGCAGCGAATGGTAAATAGATGTGAGTCGTGCGAAAGTCAGAGTCTCTATCTCAAGGTAAGGCTCGCAGTTACCTACTCTGATTTGCTGTCCGAATGAAATTCTTCTTTACTCGCCGGGACGAAAATATTAAGTCTGGAATGCTTGCGAGCATACTGCAAGTGATATAGGCCGCATGAATTTTGAAGAACACTTGCAGAACTCGCTTACCTCCGGGCTGCCATTCATTTTAATATCGCTGCAGATTTCATCTTGTATAATTTTCTGTTATATCAGGTGCAATTTTTCTTGGTTGTTCTTCACGCAAATTCGCTCCCAAATTTACTTATGCATGCTCCAACAATTACGAAACAAACGAATTTTTGAGTTACGTCTTAAATTGACTTATGTTTAATAAATCAGTCAAACAACTCGTGGGCAATTGCTTATGTCTTTGTTTATATATGTCGGTTGGGTGAAAACTTCATTTGTTGATGGTTAAACTTGATAGAGAAGCTAATGTCTATATGTCTGACATCTTCACGACAACAAAGGTTGTTAGTTCACCTTGAGTGCCGAACGAATTGGATTTTAAACCTACTTGAATAATTAGTGTTTCACTATTGAAGATAATCGTGTGTGTAGCCACCATATCATTTAAGACGATTTCTATCTGTCGTGTCTGAAAAGTATCATTATCCTTTAAAATTTAAGTCTTAATTTACGTAAACTGACAGCCGGACTGATTATAAGTTATGGAAGAAAACACGAACTGACTCATCATAGACAAATGAATGAAGGGGTTAAGTTTCTAAGGGAACTGTGGTACTGCATCGGTGAGAGGTGGGGGTGGGGGTGGGGAGTTGATATTGTAAATTGGCCACTGAAGCGAGTTTTAAAGCTGACATTTCGCGCGTCAGCCCTTCGCCAGAGCGAGTAGACGAAAGGTTACCACTCGAAATATCAGCTTTAGGAACTCTCTGCGGTGGCCCAATTACATCATCAACTCAGTTCATGAAACAAAATTGGCTTGTTGACAGACTGACTTACTTACTGATAGAGAGGCCGTCCGAGTGACTGAGTAGCTGCCTGATTGACCGGCTGAATAACTAAGTGGCTTACTGACAACTGAATCATTCTGGCTCTGACTGGCGGACTGTTTGTTCATCCGTCGCGAGAACGTTTTTATAAATTATATCCCCGTTAGATTGCTAGGGCGGTTCCAGGATGTACTGAACGGGGGCTCGGCTAAACGTCTGCTGAATGGAGACTATACAAGGGGGTCGGGGGCATGCTTCCACCGGAACATTTTGAAATCTAGATCCTCGGAAAGGTAATATCCAGGTTTTTTGAGCCGATGATTGTGGTTAATGCCATTGAAAACAATCTCTGTTTTGAGCTATTTTAAACATATACTGTGTCCATCAAACTCGACAGAAACCGCACGTGTTGAAATGTTTTTCATTTCATTGTAGGGTGTTCGGCCGAACCACCTGAACTAATCCTGGATCCGCCCCAGGATTGGGAGTTATTGTAATAGTACGTTCAGGTGAGCTGTCGCAGCGAGACACTGCGCAGAGCTAAAACAGCTCGCTAATTAATCGGTTTGCTAATGCCATAATGACATTACTGTGGTAAGGTATAATATCAATTTTAGCATTAAGTTATGTTTGCACTTTTGTTTTTATCATGTTTCGTTTTCCAGGGATTTCAAATAATATAAAACTAAGTGGATCACTTTGTTAACAGGAAGCTAAGAATGGAGACTGTAAACTGGATGTATCTGTTGGATCCCGAGGGAATGCTGAAAATTTTAGAACTGGTGTGTAAAAATATTCACCGTGGAAATGTTAAATTCAATGCTGATCCTAGCAGTCTCATTGCCTCTCAGCAGTACGATTTCTTCATGAATCGTATTATTTTTTCTTCCGAGTTGTTTCTTTTTCTCAGCCAATGAAAATGAAAGCCAAAAGCAAAACAACCAATCAGATTACAGATTTCTGTAATGCAATAATTCACAAATCAGTTTTTTTTTCTCTACTGTTACAACTACATCAATACAATTTTGATACAGACCAAAGTCCTGTATTCAGCAGTCAAGTACATTGAGTCTTCAAACTGGCCGTATCTGTTGTGGCATTTTTAACACATTTGAAGGCAATTTTTGAACGACAATACCACTCTTTGGAATCTTAATCATATATGCATAATAATGATGGAGATATAAATCACAAATTTTGTGAAACACACCTCTGCCATAAGAAGGAGTCTGTTTGAATTTTACTGGAAAAGAGGCTCAAATAGAGAATGAGCGAAATTCAATGAGGAGGTGAATTAGTAGCCTGTGTAACTGAAGGTTTTGTAGAGGTCTTCGGCGACGGAGCTGCGATTGGAATGGAAGCTTTTTTTTTTCACGGCCACCACCTTCATTTTCCCTGAATGCCCAAAATACACCTGTTACGCCGACTAAAAATGATAATTTTCAAGCAGCACTGTATGGTTTTATTACCTGAGCACTTTAAAACTCAATCTTGAACCTCAAAGGGCGGAATCTATCGAAGACATCAAATTGATTCGCTTGTCTTGAATCCAGCAAATTAACGCAACGATTACTTTTTTTTCTGTTATAAATCATGCTTTCTTAATTTCAGGCCCTTCTGTCAGCCGCTGTCGCATGTACTGCTCAGTACCACAAGGATGCAGATATATCAAACCTGCCTGAATGGCAAACAAACAGGTTAAACCTGTTCTATGTAGTGTTTATCACCGGTCTTGTGACTACTATTTTCCTGTTTGTCAGCTTTCTGTTTAACTTGGATAAGAGATGTGGATCACCAAAAGGATTTACATTTTTTGTAAGTACTTCAATCCATTTTGTTGTGGGACACAGGCTGTGAAATGGGTAGCATACTTTATGCCTTAACAGAAGGTGCGGGCTATGACAAAGGACTATTGTGCTGAGTTCCTAGGTAAGAAACTCAATTCTCACTATGCTCCTCTCCAATTCGGAGAACAGACGACTACCAAAGGATTTTCGGGGAGATACGACGAAATACCGGGTTTAAATTTGATGGCTTGGCATCCAACTTAAGGGAGTAGAGTTGCTCATGGTCTTTTCATGCAACAGAAACCGGCAGCAACCATTCGACAGCTATGCTGTATAATAATAATAATAATAATAATAATAATAATAATAATAATAATACTTATATAGCGCCGATATCAATATTGCCATTTTCATCAGCTTGCGGGTGGGTTTCCTTTTACTCTGACTCTTTCACTTCCATTAGTGACCTAAGAGGAATTTTGTCGTTCATTGTAAAGCACAGAGATGGCGAGAAGAAATAGAAATATTAACAAGGGATTTTCTTCGATTTGATACTCATTTCTCAAATCTTGAAGTGTAAGAAATGAGTGGCAGCTAACGCCAAGAATTAATACCCATATCTTGGTATTGATGGGGTAAGATAGGTCAGGGCTAACAGGGGGACAACTGTTTGGGCCGTGCCCTTCCAGTCTATGCGAGCTAAACGCAAATTGTTTCTTTAATTAAAACAAATTGTATGCAGTTCATTTTTCAGGCTAAACATCTTAATTTCTGTCGATTTTTAATCTGACTATACGAAAAGTACTAGTTTCTCGAGACAGTTTCCAAGCGTGTCGATGGCCTAATAAAGTTTATATAAAAACATATCTGAGCCATCCTCTGCATCTGCCACTGAAATGTCTGTGCCGACTAACTAAAGTATTCTCGACCTTGAATAAATCCTTAATATATTCTTAATGTTTTGCTGCTTTTAAGGTGACCTTGTTCTCACTGACCTGGGCTGTATTCTGTGCTGTTTCGTCAGGACTGTTCGGTGAAGTGGTGCTCAGTCTTCAGGAAGACAAATGGGATACATCAAAGGATGAGCGCATTCAGTGGCGCTACCAACATGCTCAAGCAGCTGTGGTAAATATTGTAGACCAAGGGCGTGGCAAAGGGAAAGTCGGGCTGAGGTGTATATCGCTGACCCTCTTCTCTCTGTATCAAGAAAAAATTGATAATTTATGACGAGAGAACATGAACTCATGGTCTCTTATTTGATAAATAAACGATCTAGCCCCCAAGAAGCTACTAATCTATCCCTTTAAAGGATATAAATATTGTGGTATACTTACAATATTATTGCTCAACACGTATCGATGTTCCTGAGTTTCGCAGGCATCTGATTTCTTAGAGTTTATTTGAGTTCGTGGTGAGTGGACTGCAAAGCAAAATTTTCACTGTAAAGAATCCAGGCGGTGGGTTAACCGCCTTTTCCAGATGGAGGAACAAATTACTTTGGCGAGCTGGTCATCATGAAAGGGGGCTCGTGTGAGTTGTGATTTCCGGGAAATTGTTTTATATTACCTCAAAGCAGAAAAATTAAATTCCACTTTATGAAAATTTCACCGGGCCCACGATCACGTGCACGGATTTGATTAAGCGCTTAACTGATCAGTCGTTCATCCCTGCTAAGTGTCTGGTACCACCAACACCCATTTACAGGTTATTCCCATATAATAGTTTGCAATCTGAATGTATATATCCTCAACTTGTACTTCAGTCTTAATGTTGTCTAATTTATTTAATTTTTTTTCTTCCTTGCTTTTTAGATTATTGGTTTTCTGTCTTTCCTGGCGTTTCTTGTTGACGGTATACTTCACTATCGAATCACCAAGTCAACCCAGTGATGAAAAAATAATTAGAACAAAAATAGAAAAGTTAAACCTAGAACAGATAAGATAATGGAACCCCCCCCAGGCATGCAATGGTAGTTCTATCTCAGCTAACTTGCTTAGGCCATGCAACAAACTTCCCAGTTTCTTTTCAGCCTTGCTAATCAAATATCACCCACGGAAGTCCATTTTAATAATCAATAAGAAAAAAATCACACAGACTTCCGTTTGATTTTTCGTATAAACATAACTGTAATTATGCAAAATAAGCCTTTCTGAAAGTTTTTTTGAGCGGTCATGACATAGATCAAAGCTTACAATTTCTTTGCTTCCAGTTCGGAAATGAAAATTACAAGTATTTATGTGCCAAGTCCTTCTCTTAAAATAGAAAAAAGTAAGATTGAGAACCACGCGGGTGGAAAGTCTACCGACAGGACAAAATAATAAAATGTCAGATTCAATATTCAAATTATTTTGCTGTCGTAACACATTTAGCAGTACTTTCCTTCATTCAGCTTCGTGTCTCCTAAAAATTTTTGCGCCGTTCCTGATCTATCAAATCGTCGTTGAACTATGAGATCAGGGTGATTATAGACCACTGAGTTTTTGCTGTAAATACAATGACGATTTGAGATTTATTATTTGGTAGACACACAATATTCAAGGCATGTTTCAACGCGACCGTTTTCTTTGAGAGGTAATGTATTTTTCCGAAAACAATACGCTCCAAACTCAACTGCAAAGATACAGTCGAAACTGTATTGAGAGGTCACCCACAGGGGAACACGGGGTGACCACTAAATACAGGTAAACCGCCTAATACAGGTTCCACGGAATAGGAGTCTTTTCAAAAACGATAAAAATCGCTATTTTATGCCATAATTGATCACTTAATGTACTAAAACTCTCTCAGGAATACTACCAAAATTGATTTCGGGAGATAAAATCGGATTAAATTTTTACTTGGAAGATTATTCTTAATTTCATTTGAGTAGTGTCGCTTTTAATGACCGTTCAGTTCAGGTGGAGGACAATACAAAGGGGCTGTTGGGACTCAGTCAAAGGTGAAAATTTCAATAATTAAAGGTAGCAATTTCGGGACTTTGAAAAGCGACCGCTGATATATACAGGGTGACCGCTTACTAAGGTGCCGCTTGATACAGTTTCGACTGTATCTCTTGCTGTAATGCTTTTCAGTTACGAAGAAAGAGGCCCTGGCGTTGTTGTTTCTGACTGGTCTCAATTCTCTTTTGCTTTAAATGAAGTAGTTCAAGTCACTGAAAATATCTGAGGAATCTCTTATCTTAAATAGTTCAGGTTGTTGACTAAGTGGACAATATCCTAACAGACATCTGAGAAATTTACTAAAAATGAAAAAATTCTTGTTTTCTCGTTAGCCCTCGGTCGAAAAGCTCAAGTCGGTTAGTTTACCAAGTTTGTACACTCCTAGAGAACTCCTCATTTTTGCTAAAGGCTACGTGAAGGATGAAAACTAAACCAATATAAAGTTTTTCCTAGAGTAAATGAGACATATCAGCTATCCACCTCTTTCAAAATCAAACTAAACAACAAAACATTTCTTTTATGAAAATAGCACGCACATTTCAAACAAAAAAAAGATTTTAACTGCAAGATTGAGTGATTTTTAATTTAAGGGTAAGACGCATAGTCGAAAAAACAGGCAGCTCGATGTTTATCTACAGAGACCAAAATTTTCGAACTGAGACAAAAAATATCAGTGAAGCGAAATGATAAATCAACTCTTAGTGAAACAAGAAGGGTTTCGGGTTTCGAGTGTCAAGTTGAAATAATTGATGTCCAATGTCATGATGTGTCTGAGTCAGAGAATTCTTCGGTGGACAGTTATTAATTGCCGTCTAACCTTTTGGCTTGGGTGTAGCAGGTTTAAATCGTATTTATCGCACGCGAAGCCATACGATATAAGAATTATCTGGCATGCATATGGTTTTACTGAACTCGCTGGCTCGGGTGAAGAAATAAAGATGTCAAATCAAAGTGGCCATGACAACGAATTTTCACAGAATTGAAAAATGGTATGGAACGAAAAAGGTCTTTCTTGGCGCACCAAAACGTTATTTTAACTCAAGTAGTCATTTAGTCAAGCCTTTTTTTGATACACAAAATATTACAAGATAAACAAACAATCGAAATTTAACTCGTAGTTCAAATACCACGTAATTATTACAATCAATTTGAAATCGCATTTTTTCATCTTTTTTTAAGCAAAGATTTTGCGACAAGAGTTGCACAATTCGCCACAAAATGGCTTGTCGAGTCTTTCATTTTCATTTTGCTGCAACCTATTTGGTTACTTTAAGGAAGCCATGAATTCTGATTGCTATTTTTTTAGTGTTCCATTTTCAATGGCTGGAAAAGGCATGCGATTAAAACGAAAAATAGAGCGATTCGTATGCAAAATTGCACTGCTATAAGCCAAACAGATGTTGATTGCCACAGGAAGGCAAGGATCATCACTGATTTCAAAGTGATGTGATAAATAAACAAATGTTATCTCACAAAGCTAGCATTATAATGAACCTCTCCTTAAAATTAGAACTTTTAAAATCATTTTTCTCTTTATCAACATAGTATACCATTACGATTCTCAAAAATTGTTAAAAAAATGAGGCTTATGCTTAAGTTGGCGTTGTGAACGTCTTCGTTACCCTGACTCCAAAGTTAACACAGTGCTAATGATAATCGGGGGCTTTTTTCCTCCATCAAGTACCAAAACTGTTAGAAACGGAAACGCCGAGGATGCAGAAAAAATTCCTTAATCTGGGATAAAGACCACTTAACGATAAGAGAGTTCGTAAGCAACACTGACCATCAGTGCGAGTTCCGTCCGGAGGAAAGCTTCATAAATTAACCGCTGAAATATTCCTCTCTTTTCTACCACTTGATTATGATACTTTATCCATTAGCAATAGCCCTGAAAGTTGCTAAATAACATTGGTTACATTTGTCATTTTTGATACCTTGAGAGTAAAACATAACTGATTTATAAGGGACTAGTGGTCTCACTTTTCATTCAAAAACATATTTTTACAGCGAACTATATATTTTATGAGGACTAAGATCATCGAAGTTTATTATGTACACAACTAGAGAAAATTTAACAAAATTAAGATTTTATGGGATGCGACTCTGACAAAACACGCAGTGCTTCTTCAAGCCATTTGGAAACCGGTTATCATGCGTGTTCGTAACATATCGGTGGAGGATGAACACAGTGAAGGGAATGTTGGAAAAAGATACCTCTGACCTTCTGAATAAAGACTAACATTAAAAAATGCGAATGGCTGGTAACTCATAACTGTAGTGATCTTTCATCTAATCGCTATTCAATTAAATTTTACTCTCAACTATCGCGAGGAGGAACGCCAAAAGTTGCGTTTAGCTGATGTCTTAGATGGCTTGTTTCAACTCCGTCAACTGTCGAATTAAAGACGATTTATGACCCATTAAGAGAAGAACAGGAGAAACACCCCCCAGGTCTAAGGTTTCATAGCTTGCGACATTTACGAAATTGCTTACAGAGCAAGAGTGACAATTTCAAACAGGCAAACTAGGGAAGAAAGAATCCTGGATGCCGTTCTACGCTATTCATGAAAATTCAGTGTCCGAAAACCTGTTACTTAGCTCTTGTACGAAGTGGCAAAGCGGAAAGCACGTCCCGTTCGAGGATTGCATTGTGTTAAAACCACTCTGCATTGTTCTTTCGCCATTAAAATATTTCTCAGCGCCACCAAGGTGCATTTTCCAGGTTGTTTATGACAAGCGAATGTCCTCTCAGTAACATGTACCGCGCTTGCAGGCCTACAATTTGCTGCCTCCAGACAGTGATCGATCATGATGTATGACTACAACACACCCGGCTCATACTTTCGAGCGTAAACAATGCGCCGCCTTTCCGGTTTTGTCGCTGTGACCCCTTGAGGGCAACAGATTTGCGGATTTTGCGGATTAAATTTGTAATCATATTACAAAGTGAAGATCTATGTGTGAAATCAGAGCCCAAAAACCCTCGTCGAGGTCGAAGCGTGGATCTGTAGAGAAGTGAAGAAGTAGAATTACCTCAAAGAGGTTAAGTTTATTATTTGAAGCTCACTCTTCAAGGCTGGAGTCAAATTCTTTGCGAAGATGCGTTGGACAATTTTTCTCGTGTTTGTTTTATATTTCACAGCCACAGAGGAAGCTATCGCAGGTAAGCTAGTCGAGTAGAGATTATTCACACTTTTCTATCCGTTTTCAAGGTTTTGGTGTCGTTCACAAGAGGGAAAATCCGTGAATTCTGTAGCTTTCCGCAATGTATTTGAAATAAGTGCTCCGATACGCCGCCACGATTGAAAACAGGAATCAGGGTCGATTTCAATTCCACTTGACGGCAAAAAATGTTCCTCGTCTCGTACAGCGGGTGGCAATTAAGCCACAGTTACAGCTAACATAAGCCCATTATAGGATAGAGAAACTTAAGTTTGACGCCTCTAAACGGCTAAAAAAACGAAATTGCTGTATTTATTAATACTAAGCAATTCGTAGGGCCATGAAGCATTCCTAGATAGTTGGGTGAAACATGGCCGGAAAACCGAAGACTGTTTCCCCATAGCTTAAGGCAGTCTTGACGTATTTCAGTTTGCTTTTCTGATTAATCCACTATCGCGTCCTCCCACAAGTACCAGTTTTGATTAATACCTCTATTTAGCTCTCTTAAATCACTTGTATTCTCACTGAGTTCGTATCCAAATGAGATGAAATCTGAAGTCGGGATTTTTTTCATGTTACAGCACGAGAATGTGCGGTTAACAAAATATTTGTGGGTCTTAATTCACTCTCTCCTTGCCAAGACTTTATTGTTAAATTATCTGAGTGATCTTAGAACGAGTAGAGTTATTTTTCGTTCTCTAACACTATCTCACTTTGAAATTTGTGGCATATAACTTTTAACGAGGAAAATATTAATGATTTATGTCCATGTAGGCAAGTTAGGAAAGTGATTGTTCGTTTCTTATAAACGCAGCTAGTATTGTAGTCTCGTCTTGCAAACTGAGCATTGACTCCCTTAACTATATTTAAATAAGTTAAAGTACACTTCTTCTGTTATAAATTATTGAATCATTTTCATTGAAGCCAGTGCGTAAATGGTGAAAGGAACCCGATAAGATATCTGTGATACACGTCAGCCAAACCATTCGATCAAAGTAACAAACCTGGGCCAAAATGCAAAATACAAACCCGAGTTTTAGTCAGTTTTTAAATGGATCCAATCAAATTTAGTAGCGGATCGAACTCCCTGGACTTTCTGTCTTGATCGGACATCTTTCACACGTGAGTAAAACTGAGTGAACCGTTGAAATGTTTCACTGCTGACAATACGAGCGTTTAACCTTCGCGGCATGCTTTTGTTTAAGGGCGTTGTGGTGATAGTTTTCATTGATCATTCTCTTAACAACTTAAACTGGACAGAAATACAGCTCTTGCAGTATTATGGGGTAACAGTCGAAACTGAACATCTCTGCTTTGAAATGATACAAATGTACTGAAAGACCGCAGGAACAGCGGCACGAAAACAGATCCGAGTGAAGCTGTAGATGTACTTGTCGGTTACTTGTCTGAAAAGCTAATTGACACCAGACTAGAGCTTAAAATGTGCACTTTTGACTAATCAATAAACTTCTTGAGGTTGTTGTGTATTTCGAAAGAATAGCGATGATTTTTCCCACTAAATCGCCTGCATTGAGAGGAATAAGGTTCCAAAACGTTACAAGAAGACACAAAGAAATCGTGTAAAACGAGGGCTTTTGGTCAACCCTCTATGTGTAATTAGCTTATCGCTTAATCGCAGGTATATGGGCGAAGTTTGGAATATTTCAGCTAGCTAACAATATCTTAGCTCGCAATAAAACTGCCAGTCCTCACTGAACGAAATTTACCTAATACCTCTAGAAACAACTGTTTCATTTCAAAATTTCGTTCTAAGAATGGCCGAAACTGTTGTGCGATGATTGCAGCCTTTGCACGGCCGCAGTTAGAAGAGACACAAACACTTTCTGAGACACGCGTCGTCCTTTATCAGACAAAGTTTTAATCAATCGGCTCCTCTATGAAATACCCACCAGTTAAATCACTTTTAAGACGATTAAATCAGTTCACCAGGCCCTAGATGTTGAGCATTGCTCCAGTAAAAAGGCCTCTTGTTCTGTGATCAATCGATCAGCATTGAGTTGTCGGCTGTCCAGAGTGATGAATAGCTTCAGACAGGTCATTATTTTTCATTAGCAGTTAATTAATTTACTTTTGACAGTTTCCCCCAGCTCGCTATTGTTGTAAAGTAAACACTCTGACTCGGAATTGAATACCCTCCAAGCTATGACCATCCGTTAACATAAGAAAGTAGGGGAGAGTGGCTCAATGGCATTGAGCGCCCACGACAACTGTTCCCCAAATTAGCGAGGAGAAAATAAGAATTTTTCAAATCTATTACGGAAACTGTAATATTTAATTGAGAAAACATGTGTAGAAAGATCAGGTTTCTTCGTGGACCACTGATTTAGAAACACATCAGCGGTGACTGCCATCAATGACTGAAATTTAAGAATAAAGTACCCGTAGAAACCTTTATTTTTACGTCTTCTTTCTGTTGCTCTCACTCTTCCACAGTAATGATCTCTGCAGGAGCACTTATCATTTTGTAATTTTGCTTCTTTCCCAGAAACTTTCTTTAGCGTATCGATTTTGAAAACTTTCAAGCGATGGTCTCTCATTACGTTGACAAAACCATTTTTAATTGGCGTTGCTTTGAAACAGGAGAGCAGTTATTCAACAATTAAGCCCTACACCTGCGACATTCTTCGCTTGCGGAACTGGTTTTGAGTAAGATAAGTGGAGTTAAACATATGGTCATCTGTGTGCAAACTGAGATACGGTCACAGCAAAAATGCTAATTAGTCAGCCTCGATTCACATTTTTAGATGACTGCTACCTGACCAACTCATCACCGGCTTGCTCCCTCATTGACTCGCGGACTGACTGAATGACTAACAAGTAGACCATGCCACTGCCGGTGACTTTTACATCCCTCCTAAATCAAAAGAAGTAAGACGAGGCTTTCTATTTTTTTCAGGTTGCTCATCGCCTCTTGGCTTGGCGTCAGGCTCAATACATGACTCGCAGCTTTCGGCATCTACATCCATGAGCGACTGGTTGCTGCCGTCTGCAGGACGACTTCATAACAATTTGTGAGTATCATCAGCACAATAATAAAACTACATTCTGATCTGATGATGTTTTATACGATGTGGAGAGACTAAAGATACATTAAATGGTTCCAAAAGTCTGCACAACTAATTCAATACCTAAGAATTGCATCTGATTGGTTGAGGAAGTGGCGCGAGTCTTCTGGAGTCAGTGCAGCACGAAGCATGTTAGGCAAAACCAATGGAATCATGGATTACTTCCGGCACTCAATTGAAAATTTCTCTGTCGGGTATCCAATTTAAGTATGAAAAGAAATTACCCAATGTAAGTAGAGCAAAAGCAAGAGTTGATTTAGAGAGCCAAAACGAACTTGCAACTATGTCTGGCGAAGGTGTCATGTGGCTCGATAAAACTAACTTTTCTGGCACAATAAAAGCAGCTGAACAGTAGCTGTCTTTTCAATACAACAGATTAATGCCTTAACATGATTTCATCCTAGAACGTCGAACTCATTCGGGGCTTGGTGTGCAGAAGACGTGGACTTGGATCAGTGGTTTCAAATTGACTTACAGAGGACAACAAACGTGTCAGCTGTAGCTTCTCAGGGAATTGACATCATTATGGCGGGTTACTGGGTGGCGTCATACTCTTTGAACTACAGTTGCGATGGAATCAAATGGCATTCTTATGCCATACAAGGAGTACCTGTTGTAAGTAACAATAAGTTGCGAGAAACTTAGTAAATACGAAGGACTGGGACTAGCACGCTTAACTTCTGATAGACTTGGGTTCTAGCACTCTTAGGGCCTATTTACACGGTACGACTTTGTCGCATGCGACAAGCTTACGACAGGCTTACGACACGAATTGTTTCGTGTAAATCAAACCTACAACTCGCTTACGACTCTTAAGTCATGTCGTAGGCCTGTCGTAAGCTTGTCGCATGAGACAAAGTCGTGCCGTGTAAATAGGCCTTTACAGTATCTTTCCTTGTCGTGGAGTATAAATGGGCGTCGGCATTGTCAGGAAATCATAATGAGATTTTGGGCAAAAGGTCGGGAGGTGGTGATCTGCGATACACCAGCATCTTATTCATTCCAGGAAGAGTAGCAATAATCGTGGTCGTTTCACGCAATAAATGTTAGATAACATTCGGTTAAATGGGCCGCTTAGCTCGAGTACAGACTCAGTAATGACTGTGTTCGACTTTTTTTTTTGCAGATATTTCAGGCAAATAATGATTCTGATAGTGTGGTAACGAACACGCTTTCACCTTCCATATTGGCTCGGTTCATTAGAGTGTTGCCCTTGGAATGGAATCAGCTGGAAACCATTTGTCTGAGACTGGAATTATATGGATGCGAAACAAGCCAAGGTAACAGGAAAAAAGCGAAGATCAATCCATTGAGGATTGGATCATCTACTTTTTAGAGCATAAACGGTGAATGGAAATTATTCGTCAAGGAAGGTCCTAGAAATAATTCCAACGGCCAATCAAGTTCAAAGTGAAAAACTCAGTGTTCCAACGAAGACCTTAACAAGCCGGCATAAAAAATCATGTAATTTGGTGTTAACAACTGGGTTGAAAACGTAGATTAGCCACCGCAAAGGGTAAAAAAGCTGACGTTTCGAGCGTTAGCCCTTCGTCAGAGCGATGCAAATCTATACTCTCCCTGCTATACTCTCCCACCGACGCAGCACCACAGTTTCTTTAGAAACTTACCCCTTTATAAAAAATCATGACCAAGCGCAGAAAAATTTTGTGACCAAATTTTCCACAAGTCAGCGTTTTTTGTGCAGAAAAAACTGTTCTTTATATTAACCGACAAAAACATGATACCCTTCTATTTCAGCCTGCCCACACCCTACCAAGGCTACAATGTCACCAAGCCAGGCAGCAGCAGACTCTTCTTCAGTAACCAAGGCTCCATTAACTGGTTTGCCTCCGAAATTTTCAACGCTGAGTTCTAAGACGGGGAACAGGTCACATAGCACTGACAGCCTAGCCACTGATACAAACACAATTCCCATCGGTAAGTTGATTGCTTCGGTGAAGTCCTCAGTAAATGCTTTTGGCGCTGTTACTTCTACTGACAACTTCTCACGGTCATCTGCTGAACTAACGTGAAATTATTTTCTAAAACGTCCGCTAGGTTGAACCAAATGCAATCTACACGGACCTGTTTGTAGAAATGATATGTTCTCAACAACACCGTGACGTATTGAAACATAAACATCTGTCCAGTGCTTTCTAGTCTTAACCAATCTATGAGGCTTCACAAAACTAGAGTTAACAGAAAAATTGCTAAACGAGTCTCCCACAATTCAATTAAAGTGCAATAATTCAAAAGTCAAGCTTGCATTATAATTTTCAAAGTGTCTGATTTATTTCTCTCACTACGATTCTCCACAGCATGTTCTTATGCCCTTGGAATGCAGTCTGGTGCGATTAACGAGTCGCAAATAAAAGCTTCCTCTTTCGACAGTGTTTGGACCCGACCATCGGAAGCAAGACTTCATAATCAGTGGTTTGTTAAATAATTTGTTACTTAAAAAAGTGTCTTTCGAGTTGCCAGTCGATCAGAACGTCTAGTTGGCATCCTTGGTTTGATATATTGAACCGACTTATATATCAGGACTAAGTACCGGTAATTGATTTTTTTTTTCAAAGTTAGCTCGTGCATTTACCTAAAAACTGATAAAAATCTTCACCAATGAAGTTATTGAAATGATAACGTACCTCTGAATGTATAAGATATTTACAGCGGGAAATCTCATTTGCTAGTAACCAAAAGTTTTTTTTAAGTCTAAATCCAAAGAAAGTGGAAAAATACTTAACTGCTCGGAGTCAACTCTAATCATACTTATGCTGGACCATAAGGTGGCTGAAGAAAAAGTCTTCTCTCCATGGATTGTAAGCTGCATGCCTGTAGGATATCCACGAAACTTTCTGATCAAGCTGTTCTCACGTTCCTCTCTCCTTGTTTCTCTCCAGGAGCCTTAACCATAGATCTCTAGGGGGTTGGTGTGCAGCAGACGCGGATATGAATCCTTTCTTACAAGTGGACCTGTTAAACAACTCTATTGTCACCGCAATAGCCACACAAGGTGTCCCAGCAAATGGAAACATTGCGTTGAGATACAAACTTAACTACAGCTGCGACGGGATAACTTGGTTTGAGTATCAAGAAGGAACGGTGAGTGCTACTCATGACATATCTCAGTATAATCAAGATTATCTCTTGTGTCGTCAGTAAAATTGCCTTTGAACTTACACTGTACCATTCAGATCAATTGATTGGGCATGATTAATGATCACAGTTTAGAATACCTCGTGTATTGTTTGGATATTCATGTGAAGAATGAGAGCACGTCCCTTAAGTTGAACATGTGAATCCAAATGCACGGTACCGCAAAATTTAGCTATGTCTACATTCTTCGAGATATTCGTAAAAGGGTTTGACGCTAAACAAGCTGCCATATTGGGATTATCTTAGAGCGGAGTAACGTTTCGAGATTTCAAGAGCAATCAGATAGTATGTGCAGATAAGAAAAACCAACACAATCCTGGATCCCTTCGACGCTAAATTGAAATATAGTTCTTCATAGGATATTGGTTTTTCCTAATCTTATCCTGCTTGGCCAGTAACATTTTCAGTAACAAACTGTTTTGGATCACGTACTCTGACTGACACTCACATCACATTATTATCTCCCCAGATTTTTGAAGGTTATCGCAAAAATTTGCGGGCTCGACAAAACAAGCTACCAGTGCCCTTTAGAGCTCGGCTCGTGCGAATTCGACCGCTTCTCTCCAGGCAGTACGAAATACCCTGTGTGAGACTAGAAATCTATGGATGTAGCATGGCTAATTCCGGTAAGTGTAGCACTTATTTTGTAGTTACTGGTCAATGACATTGCACAAGGGAGTCATTTCAAATAGTATACTGTCTTTTCAAATACACTGCGCATCACCTACTATTTAAGGAAACAGAGGGGAATTGCTTTTTCTCAATGAATTATGACTCGTCTTTCTTTCTTTTAGATAAGACAGAAAATCGACAAAAAGTCATGAAAATTACTCAGCTAAACGAACACACCACAAGCCTTGAAGATAAATCAATAAATTAAATAATTGACCAATCACTCATATTTTTTCTTCCCAATTAATGGATCATTACCCATTCAATAAATCAATTGAACTAGCAGTGAAGAGTACTTTTAGATTCATTGTCGTAAAACCTGACCTAAAGTAATCACAACGGCCGATCAGAAAGGAGAATATCCCATGAAGTCGAGAAGTCAAGTTTTCATCAGATTGGTCAAAAGTGTAAGCAAAGTTTAGTAGACTATCCGCAGCGCGTAGTGAAGAATCAATGCCATTCCGATATAAGATTGCTCCGGCTTATAGCAAAAAATCTCACTTTTTCAAGCAAGTTTTTTGAGGAGAGATAAGTATTCAAGGGACTTGGCTCACCAGTTACGGATGATTAATGGTTGAATTTATGACTTCTTTTTGACGGATGTGTCATGGTTGTTCATTGTTGTGTTCATTTTTCAGTTTGTGGAACGAAGAATCAACTAAACACCACGATAAACCCTGATCAACGCTCCACACAGGATACCAAGGCCCGAACAACACATAAGACAACGTCAAGACTGAATATAAGGCCTACAAGACCAAAGGACATGATTGTAATTGTGCGAGATCATCCAAGTAACGACTCGTTAGGTTATAACTTTATGCCCTCTTCAACAGAACGTCACATTTTCAGTTTATCACTTCCTCTAACTCTAAGTTTTCTCCTCGTAATACTGACTCAGTGAGTACTAATGACAGATTCCTGATCAACTTTCTTTCGGAACGGTAGAAACCTTGTGAAAAAATATGTTAATCAAGAACTGGAGGCGGAGGTCTGGAGGTGTGTGGACTGAGTAGCGTCACTAGAATCTGGCGCCTGCTAACATTGTAGATATTTCTGGCTAATAATCTAAGCTTGTTACGTTAGCCTAGAAAGGAGATGAAGGGGGGGAAATTCACTTAGCCTGCAGAACAGGCGTAATTTTTTTTGTGTTATGCAAGCGAACAGAGACAAGCGCTAGTTGAGGGAAGGAGTGCGATTCTTCCTTCGTTACGCCTTGCCTCCGATCGACAATTCACTCGAGTGTGAAGCACGATTCCAACGATCCAGCTTTACGCTCTCTTCGCATTTCATGCGCAAATATCATTTTCCCCTCACCCTCCCTTTTGGGCACTAGATCTGCCGGCTACTTAAGATAAGTGCTAACGTTTTAGCTTTATGTAAATACTAAAATTGCTCGGTAAAGACAAATTCAAGTCGATATTATTTATTGCTGTAAAGCGTACCCTTCTTGCTTTTACTCTCATTGGGTACAAATGGATGAAAATTATTCACCGTTCGACGTAATGGGCTCCTGCCGCTCGATCATTCTGATAAACAAGATAAACAAGAAACCATGTTCCGTATTGATCGGAAATTAATTGACTGAATTACTCTTGTATTCAAAAGACCAAGACGCACATAGGCAAGGCAGAAACGTATAGTTTTGGCGTCATGTTGAGGTGTAAAAATCTGTACTTGAATTTAATTGCTTCCAACTCTTATTAAGGGTGAATAGCAGCATCACAATTTCGAAAACAACGAACCCCTTTAATTCAAGAGTACCTTGGAAATTTTTAAATAAAGAGTATTTTTCAATTCTGAATCGTGACAGATTTAATATCACGCCATTTTGTTACAAAGCTCAACATCACAAGGGGTAAGAGCTGAAAGTAAAGAACTGATAAGAACTCAAAGTAACTTGAATCTTAAACAACCTCAAACCTAGAATCTTCCAGTCTAAACTCAAGGATTTCGAAGACCCCAGCCATTGAGAATGCTAAAAAACTAGATCCATGCATACACAAGCGGCACATATAGCTTATGCTGGGGAATATCCCCCACCCGGGGTAACAAACGGCTAGCAACAGAGAAACTTGGCGAGCGATGAGGGAGAAAAAGACCAGAGAGAAAGGCTTGGTGGAATCAATGCTCCTTCGGGATGTACAGGATACCTTTCCGAATTGTGGCTAAGTCTACAAATTTCAAATGGAATTCCCAGCCACTGCAAACCGCCGCTACTGTCAATCAACAATAAGAGGCAAAATACTCCTTGACAGCGCTCTGAAGCTAGGAATTCTGTTCGACAATTGCCTTGCTCACTATGTTCATTTTCAGGTAAGCAGTTGTTTAAATGGACCTCCAAAGGTCAATCTAAAGCTCCACATCTGAGGCCGAAGAAAATTATTTGAGGATCAGTCACCAAGAAAGTATAAGCAGTTTATATTCTCTTCTCCCAAGCGCAAACGGTTCCCAACGTTCACACAAAAAGTCAGGGTGTTATGATGACATCAAAAAAAGTGCAAATTTTTCAAGCTGTGTGAGCACCATTTTGGTGTTTCATCAGCGCTGAAACGGTGTTCTTCTACACCAACATGGTGTAAATTCGTTGTTATGTCATGTAACTGACGTCTAACTATACACAATGGTGCTGACTTATACTACCTTACACTATTAGTACAATATCAACCAGACAAATAATGAGGATAAAGAAAAATATCAATTAGGGGATTATTGGTTGAATCAATCCAAATTCTCCAAACTAACATCATATGAATTGCATGACAGACAGTAAGGAGAATTACCGATGACATCTTGGGAGGGAAAGGTTAACAAAGACCGATCAGAATAACCAAATGTTGGCTCCTCAGCCATTCGACTTGCAGGGCCTTTCATGCGAATGTTGGCAGGTTCATTTTTTTCTTTCATTCGGATGTCCCTCAAACTTTGCATTTCGCGCCAAATTTCAAGCCCTAGGTTGACTCGGTAAGAGGAAACGAGAAGTCTTTTAGATCTGGAGCGCAGAAGAGGAGGCTACTGAGCTATTTGAAAATCAAGTATGGCTAATTTCTGTTTAATGCGTGTGCGTAGGAGGGCACAAGGGCTTCAACACACTACTTTCTTCGCTGGACGGTCGCTTCCTGTCACGCTTGCAGAAATTGTAAACCACAGAAATTCGAACAAAAATATGCCCCAACACCACGCCAGATAATGCTTTTCAAATGATTTCTGTCAGTTGTGGCTCAAGAAGCATCAATTGGAGATAGTAAAATAGATTCCCAAGAAATCATAAAAGAAATGACCTCAATAGTATGGAGTTGCAGACAAAATTTCGAGTATTCTTACGTCCTAACTTTTCTTGACATTACACGTAAACAGTGATTAGTATGTACTTTTGGCCCATACAAAGATATTTTAATTGCATTATGCAATCTTAACCACACATATGGTGCGACTATGTGCCTAAAAGTTCTCAGCCGATCCACATGCGATGGATATTTTACTCCTCGGGGATCCTAAATTGCTTTGGAAGAAAGCTCAAACGCTACACACGCTCACCATTTTCTGTGGGAAACAGTGTGGGTGGACGGTGGTGATTGGATAATAATGGGGCTTTGAAGAAATCTTTGTAGCTCATTTTCTTCAATACCTGGTGAAGAAACTTTGATGGGTCAATTCCATGTTGTGGTGTCCGCTCTAGTATCAAAGGCAACAGCAAGAGTACAACCAGTGCTTGGTCTTCTGTATAAATAAGAGCAGAAAACAAATCATTAGTCCTTTCAAGTGTCCAAGAGTTATGAGTCAATCAATTCTGGCAGGCCGCACATTCCATTCCCAGCTGGAACTGACCAATCTTGTGTGGCTTTTAAATTTCGGTGGCTAAGTTCATATATCCTCCTTCACAGCCATCAGTCGGGTTGGTCTTAAGCTCAAGTCTGATTGGATACTCAGACACAATGGGAATGGGATGTCACGCTTGGTTAAGCAGACATTAGTGGGCTAGTGAATGACTTGTAGGTCTAGACTGTCTTTTTATTGTTTTATCTTAAACTGGTTAAAAAGCATTTACCTGATGTTGGCATGACTTCCTAAATATCCTCATCTGGATGAAGGAGGTTGAGGAGGGACATTGCCCCCTTTATATTTTTCCTCCTTATATACTCTATAACCTTAGGCCTTTAAATCTATCGTTCTTAGAGAAGACATATAAAAATAGGTATGCAAAGGCATACATGTGTCTAGTGCGAGCTAGTTGCTTACATGTACTTCTTTTTTTATGTGGCATACAGTTGTTACCTCTTTCGATCTATCCCAATCATAGCAGACGTTTTGGAGCTTAAATGGAGACTACATATTCTTGGAATAATTCAAATTTAAGCGTAAAAGCGACGGAATTAGTTTTGGGGTAACAAAAAATGCAATTCTCAAAAGCGTAGGGAAAGGCCCGAAAATGAAAGCAGAACTTCCTAACTTCAAGTGAGACTCTGCGATATTTGACTATATTTTGGACTGATAATTTTATTTTTTTAAGTGTTCATATGTTTTTAAGGTATTATTAAATCGAAGATTTTGTCTTTAAATTATTCATTTTCCAGAATCTTTAACACAACGCTATGGCCATGAACTTATGTAAACAACGATGGTGCATATATCGCTCAGGTCTTGTAAGTTCAAGAAATTCCTCGGTTTTTTCGTTTTTGAACGGTCTATCTAAGACTTTTTGGAATAAAGATATATTTCTTGCTTATTTTCCTTGAATTTTATCAATAGCTTTTGGTCCAGAGAAAATATTATAGGGTTTGTATTTACGTGAGTGTTAGTTTCGAAGCGCGTAGTTCGTGTACTTTTCTCTTGTCTTCTGTTCTGGCTTCTTTTTAACAATTAATCCCTCATTAGTTAATGATTATTAATTAATAAGTTTGCCATTTCAATCATTTTCTTTTGAGCACATGTATCAGATATTGTATCTCATCTTTTATCGCCATTAGTTGCTGCTGTTACTTTCAATGTTCATCTGCTATCGTTAGGAGCTAGACAAAAGTAAGTCTTTTTTTATTTTACATTTACGATATTTCCCTCTCGGTCTGTATTGACTACATTGGTTTATTTCTCGCACTCAGTTCTCTTTATAATCGTCTCATTGTTAGTTAGGTATGTGTTGCATTTCCCAGGGTACTTTCTTAGTTTATGTACTGCTGTACTTTTTTTTTCAGTTGGGACCACACAAATTCAGCAACAATCTTTAATTATAATCTCGTAACCTTCAATCGCAACTTCCCCCTTTTCATCCGTATAATTCAACATGATTTCACACCGATTACTTGATTCTAATTTGTAATTTTGATTACATACTGCATTTAATTAATCCTTGTTTCTACTGTGCATTCTAATTGTCTTCTCCCTTCTACAAGTAACTTTTGGAGGAACAGAATGTGTAACAACTTATTAGGGACCTCTGCACGAACCATGAATTGCGAACAAAGAATTTGCATATCAAACCATGTGGTTTTAGAACCTTTCTTTAGAGGAGAAATGTTATGAAGATGGCCAGTAAGTTCATCCTCCATTTTTCAGGAACAGGCTGTAAGGGAAAAATGGGATAATACATGAAATTACTGGTATTGACACAAAGACTTAAAATGAGGAGAAGGTACTTAGATTTAAACAGAGAAATAAGTATATTTAGTTGTTATTATATAAACTGGCTAGGAAATTGTTTGCTACTATTGAGAGAAAGGGGAAACCAAATAAATTTGGAAAAAAATTGCAAGCTTACCTCTATCCCTATGTTTATTCTTTGATGGAAAAAAGTGTAAGAAGGTTGCCAAAAAGCAAAAAAACCTTCAGAATTGCATTATAGTTTTAGGTTATCTTATTGAGGAATTTCATTGAGGAAAATTAGTATTTTCAGATCAGTTACTTGACAGTTAACTAACTGACTTCACATGTGTGCCTATTTTCAAGTTTCTATCCTTCAATTTATGCAAAAACACTGGCTTGTGATCTGAAAAATTGGAACATCTTATCAATACATGCATAA